AACACACACACACACACACACACACACACACACACACACACACACACACACACACACACACACGTTTTTAAACAAACAATTTAATACTGGTACACAGTGATGATGATTGTGAAGCTTGGTTGAAGTGGAGGAGCCAGAGGGTGGATATTTCCCTTACTGCTAAATGATGAACTAGCAATTGGCTGAGCCCTCAAGGGTTAACTCTCTCACTCTACAAGGCAGCAAGAATGGAGGGAGATCTGCGCATTTCCCCTTTAAGTACACTGCCCTGTTAATTAGATTAGCTTGCTGAGACCGCAGCTGCTGCAAGCTCCCTCTGTCCTGAGCCCTGGTGTGTCCCCCTTGCTCTATGGAAGATGAGTAAGCGGGGTGCAGGAGCAGGGGGGAGGGGGACACCCTGACATTAGACCCCCTCTTCCTTCCCTCCTTCCTCCCCACCCCCACAGCAAGCAGGAGTCTCGGGGAACAGCTCCAAGGCGCGGGCAAGAGCAGCACATGGCAGTGGGGGGAGGGACAGCTGCAATTGCTAGCCTGCTGAGCAGCTGCTGCACAGGGAACTCAGGGGGGCGTGGAGCTGATGCAGGGCTGCTGGTCCACCCTGGTTCCAAGCCCCCACCAGCTAGCAGCAATGGGCTGCTCTTCCTGCAAGCAGTAGACAAAGCAGGCAGCTGCCAAAAAACGTTAGAAGGGAGCATTGCACAACTTTAAACAAGCATGTTCCCTAATTGATCAACGAAACAACGTTAACAGGGACGACTTCAAGTGAGGAGTAACTGTAGGTATTTGAGGCAGGCAGCAATGCTGTTGTGAGGGATGTTGATGTAGAGGGAAGTGATATCCATGGTGGTAAGGATGGTGTTAATGTTGCGGAATTTCTGATGGAAGTCGGTAGTGCCTTGGAGCATAGTTAAGTGTTGTTGTTTTAGCAGACTCTACCATTACAGAATATTGATCTAATGGCTCTTCAGCCATGCCATGTCAACATTATTACCCCTGTGCATTGCAGAGCACGCTTTGGGTTTTCTCTGCACCGGCCAGTTGATTCATGACCGTATAGATATACTAACTATTCAGCCTTCATCTGTGCAGCAATTGCAGTAGTGGAGTGGGTTTGGGGGGAAATTTCTCCTCTGGACCTCACGGATACAGGCTCTGTACTTGATTTGTGCACAGAAAGGTGTTTAGGGCCCTTTGGATTTAAAAAATCGTAAGAGGTCAGTCACTACACTAATTCTGTAGCTGTGTTGGGTTCCAACCCTCTTGTACTGTTTGAGTTCTACTTATAACATATGTTTTATGTTTCATTAGGACTCTTGTGCTCACCATGGGAAAACTTTGTCTGTAAAGGTTTAAGAATAAGCTTGGAAACTCTTGAAGATATCTAAATATCTTTTTTTTAACGGAGAACTTTTGTGTGGAAAAAAAATAAAAAGAGAGAGAGAGAAAGTTTACCACTGTGTACTATGCTACATTATGCTGCTACTTAAATGCTTAACTGGCACTTTGGTTCCAGGATTGCTCTTTTGGTCTCAATTTTTAGACTTGCAGGACAGAAGTAATAAATGTTTCCATATTTGAATATACTTTGGCTTTTATTTTCTGTGTTAGATAAATTATTTGAAAAACCGAGCTCGAAAGCACAATATCCACTTGAAAACTTTACCCATTGGATTTACAAAAAGGAGAGAGAATTCAACCACCTTCAACAAGAAGTAAGTTTCTAATTATTATGGGGTTTGGGGACAACTGGGCAAAACCTTTATTTAAGTATTACTGAAAGAATAGCTGGTGAAGAGCTCTTCTATAAGATTTCAAGGTCTGGTAGCGTTTTTCATGACAGAATCACATTAGACCAGGGGTATGCGAACTTTTTGGCCCAGGGACCGTATCTGGGTCTGGAAATTGTATGGCGGGCCATGAATGCTCACAAAATTGGGGGTTGGGGTACGGGAGGGGGTGTGGGCTCTAGCTGGGGGTGTGGGCTCTGGGGTGGGGCTGGGGATGAGGGGTTGGGGTACAGGAGGGAGCTCTTGGCTGGGACCAAGGGGTTTGAGGGCAGGAGGGGGATCAGGGCTGGGGTAGGGGGTTGGGGCGTAGGAGGGGGTCAGGGGTACAGACTCTGAACGGCACTTACCTCAAGCAGCTCCCAGAAGCAGCGGTATGTTCCCCATCCAGCTCCTACACGGAGGCTCTGCCAGGCAGCTTTGTACCCTGCCCCATCCACAGGTGCCGCCCCTGCAACTCCTATTGGCTGGGAACCACGGGGCTTCAGGGGCGAAGTTTGGGGCGGGGGCAGCGTGTGGAGCACCCTGGCTGCCCCTACACATAGAAGCCGGAGGGGGGACATGCTGCTGCTTCCAGGAGCTGCGCGGAGCGCAGGGCCGCCCAAAGGATTCAGGGGGCCTGGGGAAAAGCAATTTCAGGAGCCCCTACCATAAAAAAAAAAAGTTGCAATACTATAGAAAAATATATTCTTGTGGGGGCCCCTGCGGGGCCTGGGGCAAATTGCCCCACTTGCCCCCATACCCCCTCCGAGTGGCCCTGGTGGAGCGGGGCAAGCCCCAGACCCCGCTCCCTGGCGGGAGCTCGAGGACCAGATTAAAAAGTCTGGAGAGCCAGATGCGGCCCCCAGGTCGTAGTTTGCCCACCCCTGCATTAGATAGTGAACAATACTCCATGAAATATTTTGGGAAACATATTCAGATGGAAATTTGTAGTAAATTCTTCTACAGCCCTCTAGTATTCAGCTTCATCAGAGAAGATTTATTGTACCCCAAACTTCAGTTGGGGTTCTTCTGTTGTGCTTGGGCTGATGTTGCCTACTATCATAAAGTAGTCACTGATTGTCCTAATTGGAAATCCAAGCACTGAAGTCAGCAACGTGACATACCATCCATTACTGGTGCTAGTCAATTAAATGTTGTCTTTACTGAGCAATGGTACTCACGAAGGGAGTGAGAGAGAGGTTATTCCTTCTTCATAAATTAATTTGGGCTTTTACTTGCATGCATGTCTGTGATGCGGGACAAACGGGATTTTTTTTAATGCTTTTACCAAAATGATTTTCAATTCATATTTCCTTGCTAAGGACTTGTAACTCTTAGTCCCTAGACGAGTTCTGTGTCTGTCATTCTTCCATTAATTGGGATTACCAAAGTAGTTGACTTTCTTTTTCTTTAATTGGGATACTCTTGACTTTCTTTTTCTTTGATTGGGAGGGTGGGTACATCTGTTCAAGATGAAAAGACTTGCTGAAAATGTCTCCCTGTCATGGAGGGGAAAGGATGTGGATTTAAGTCTGGGTTATTCATGAAGCAAACATTTGCTAATATAAATAAAATTTATATTCCTTGTATAGTACTGTGTCATAATACAGAAATGTAGTAACTTGGTGAAGAGTGCTTCTGTGTGAAATACAGGTGCAGGTCCAAAGTTAATATGAGGGCTCATTGAAATTTAAATATTTGATTGACCTGTTGGGGGGAAAAACAGTAAACACTTTAAGAGCCTCAGATAATAGCCACTCAGAGCAGGCTTTTTCCTTGATGGCTTTTCTTTGGGCTTTATTCTCCCCTCCCTCCTTCTCTCTCTCTCTCTCTCTCTTCCCCTCCCCCCCCCCCCCTTATCAAGTTCTGCTCCTAGATTTTTTTTCTATTTAGTAATGCCATTTACTGTTAGTTATCCGGTAACAATGAATGGATGAGAACTTGACAATATTTTAGTGACCAAACCACTAGGTGTCCCTCTTGTAATGGTTTAGCAAGTAAGTTTGCATGCATAAATAAAAACTAGCATAATTTCTTCTGTTTGGAAACAAAAGCAGTTTTTCTCCATTGGTGGAGAAACCTTATTCTTAGCAGAACATAACGCGTAAAGGAATTTCTGAAATGTTAGCTTTCTGTGTTACATACTTTAAAATACAGGATCTGAGTGGCAGGGAAAATCCACAGGAGGGGTTAAAGGAAAGGAAATGTGAGGTTTTTTCCATTTAAATTTCTCATGAATTCTTACATTGATGAGGATTCCTGGCTTCCTCAGAACAGACCACAAGGCAACCCCCAAATACTGCAGATCTCTGCATCAATGGCTAAGCGTTGTGGGCGGCACAACCACAAAAACGTTCTCACTGGTAAATCCTGTACACGAGACAGCCACACACTGACAAATATTTGTTGCTATTCTGTAGTGTGACTTTTAAACTCTTCTGTTCACAAAAGTACTTTCACATATGGAAAAACACGACTGAGCGCTGGAAATTAATTTATCTCTGCATTGAATTACATATGTCTATATTTATACATTTATATTTACCTTTATTGAACAGAGGCCCTTTTTAAGCTCTAGCAGAATTGGTGTGTTATTTGTAGGTAAATAGTTAAGCATGGGACTATTTCAGGAGCAGCCAGAAAGGAATAAGACAATGACTTTTTTTGTCATAGTGGAGAACAATTTTTGTTTTGAAATGTTAAACTTTCATAGACCCATTCTAGTGTCATCAAGTAGCACAGCAACATCATTCTTTAGGATAGTAGCCACCTGCTTTCTGCAAATATTTTTCCAGGCAGTGAGAATGATACACATTTTGTGGATGAGTATGAAAGGGGAGGTATTAAATACAAATTTTACATGGTAAAGTGCAGTTTTACCTCCACTGGAGGGGAGAGGGGGAAGTATTGCAGATACTGCAAAATGCCCATCCCAGCTGTATTGGAACAGGTGTCATCGCTTATCAAGGCCGAGAAGTCTGCCTTTTCTCTTTAAAGCTGACTACTATGCTATAACTAGAAAATAGGGTCCAGTCAAAGTTGTGACAAAATGATATTTGGGCTGTCTTCTGATGAAGAAAGTTGTGTCTAAGAGATGCTGTGAGAAAACAAATTATGTTACTAGGAGCCACCTGTATCTTTTTGTGTGTGTCACTGTGGTCCATATTTCTTTTCAGTGTTTACCATTGATTTGCAATCTGCATTATCTGTCAAAATGGGACACCCCAATTATTCAAATAATGTAAAGGCTTGTAGAGCATCCTCTTTATGAGCATGTTCTCATTGACAACCGTTCACAAAAAGTTAAGATAGATTATATACAAACTCTCATCTCTTTGATTTCATATAAACATTTAGACAATGGAGCCTAACTTTAGAGCTTGGCAATAGTATTAAATAGGTGATGCTTAGGATATTGGAAATGACTTTGAAGGAGTACTTCTTGCCCCTCATCTGCTGTGTCCAAAAAACAAACCAACCATTTTTAATAAATTAAACTTCAGTTTGGCCTTTGAAATGAGAGATACAGACATGCTTATTCAATGTAGAACAAATATTTACTGGAAATCATGGCTAGATAAATTGTTACTCACATTTAGGAAATCAGATTTTTTAACTCTTATTGTCTAACACCTCTAGTAAGATTATACTAATCTGAGGTATACTTCTGGGGAAACTTAAGTACATGAAAATCTCTTCACTTCTTAATTGCGTTAAAATGAACAGAAGCCATATCGCAATGCTAAGGTTTAGACTACTCAGAAATGCAAAGGTATTTTGAATTAAATGTACCCTATCAGGGCTGTTGAGCCTAAATCTAGAAGTACAGTTGTAATTTTTTTTTTTTTTTTGTGCTTGCTGTTTGGGACTCACTGCAATCAGTGGTGCAGGAACAATTTTTGTAGTGGGGGTGCTAAAAGTGTAAACCATGTATTTGGGTTTCTATTACTACTTCAAGCCAAGGGGTGCACCCCCACATCCCTAGTTCCAGTACCTATGATCACAATGTGACTCTTTCTCTGCCTACAAGCATGAAGAAGGCCAGGTAGCATTACATGAATGCTGCTGACTAATGCACAGGAATCATCCTCTCTGATCATTTCAATAATTTTATAGTCTCATGAAAATGGAGGGATGACATACAAACATGAAGAAAGGCTACATCCCAGCTCAGCACTTGGCAGGTTGTCTAGCCTGGAAGTGTGATATAAACCTAAATGTGTTAGTTCTCATGCAGGGAAGCTGATGGGCATTTTTGTTTCCTCAAAGAATCAAAAGAGAGGACAAAACACATTTTTAAAGAAGGTTAAATTTTGGACTAGTCAACCTTGGCAAAGTCTTTCGGTTTCCACAGAACCTTTAATTCAAACTCAGTGTGCTTGAATATTGCAGCACATATGGTTAGTAAGATCTCCTGCTGTTCTGAGGCCTCCTGGGAGAAGACCATATGTGTTACAAAGGAAATGTTTTTCAGTCCGTTTCTTGGTGGATAGTCCTGCTTTACAATTTACTACAATTGGGAAATACTTCAGTTTTAAGTAGAAATAACCCAACTTTATTGTTTGTCCGTTACATCTCAGCTGGGAATTGGTTTAGCTGAGCTTCGACAAAGTGTGGGTCCCCTCTGCTGTTTAATGTCGTTAGCACTGTAGGTATAGTGGCACTAGAGACAGTGTATTTTCGTAAAAGCATCAAACTATTATTCATTTATTTTTATTGAGGGGCTTTTGGGTTTCACAAGAGAATCCAGTGACTTAATTGGACTGGATCTGTGTTGCCTAAAGCAGGTTAAGGCAATATTATCAAAAGGAATAAACATTTAATCCCCTTATACTTAAACTGCTGAACTGTGGGTGAGATGGGCCACTAAAGTGGCAAATCAGGGTTAACGGATGACTGGTACTTCATTAAACTTCCCCATTTCTAGCCTCTCCCCTTTTTGTTGA